TTGCTTTAAGTTTCTTAAGTAACATAATGAATGCCTGAAGTTACTTGGAATTTATCCTTCGGTACGTAATTTGATCACAAACTTGTGTCATCTCTTCTAATTCTGTTTCTCCAAGGGCTTTTACATGTTCTATTGTGGCTTCATTTATTCCTAGAGCTTTTCTGGCACTCAACAAGTTCAAAGCATTCTTTACCTCTAATATCATCACTTGCCTCGATATCTTGAGGATTCCCTTGATTAGAATTATTGCACAACTCACATATTTTGCTCATTGTTCTGCTCCTGCAGCCCTTTCAAACAATATTTTGCTATCTGTGTCTTTTAGAAAAAAATCTGTTGTGATCTCATTCTCACTATCTGTCAAAGATTTCATCTTCTCCTGCATAACTCTCATTTTGTGATTTCTTTCCATCTCCAATACTACTTTACACAACTCATCATACCACGTCTCTTTAGCCTGCCTCACGTACATTGTTTACTTTCAATATGATCATACTCAGTTGTATCTCCTCTCTGTCATCATTGCTAGGATGTCATGCAATATCCAGTCCTTTCATTTTTTTCATTTTCCCTTTTGCCAACAGGCCCTTTCCAGCATGTCGTATGCTTCTTCCAAGATATTGCATTTGACTTCTGTTTCTTGTTCTGAGAACTGATTATTCTGATTGTACACACTAAGATTTTCATACTTGAATTTACTTTAAAAAAATATCATGGGTAAATATCTCAAAGTAAACAAGAATATTTACATATGCTTCATAGATGACGAAAAAACCCAATCCTGTTTAGCACCCAAAGAGACATGTTGCTGAAACGTGATGTCTAGAAGAAAGATGTAAGATTTTTCCTGAGTCTCTAGTGGGACAGAATAGCACACATCAGGCTAGAAGACAGAGAATCAGACATACATTAACCAGAGAGGTGTACAATGGGGCTGTGCACAGACAGATATTCAAAGAATAACATCTGATAGAAACTGAAAACAAGCACATAACATACTTGTGTGCACTGGGAATACAGCTACGCAGGCAGAATCAGAAGGGTCCTACAAAATATCACTGATCAAATAAAAACTAGATGTTTAGAATATGGATTAAACTCAAACACCAGAATGACAAAAATAAGTCATTAGAAGAAAGACATGAGAAAAAATTAGGCTGAAAACTTAAGTGGTTGGCATCCCACCGAGACACATGAATAAGTGTGTCGATTTGGAGCAAATGACAACAGAAGAGTGCAAATGTGATGCAGAAGTTGGAAGAAGGATAGACATAGCTATATGTAATTTTGTGAAGATGTGTTTACAAAAACAAAATAACCTTGTAACAAAGGAAAACTTTTAAGATGCTAATTCTACCCACTTGCCTGCACCTCAGAAACCTGGACAATAATTAAAGATTTGTGGAAGAAAATAGAGGCAGAGTAATACAGCATGGAAACAGGCTCTTCAGCCCAAACTGGCCCATGCTGACCACTCAGCTAGTTCCAATTGCCACATTTGGTCCATATCCCTCTAAACCCTTCCCATCCATGTAGCCATACAATTTTTTTTTAATGTTGCTATTGTACTTGCCTCAACCACTTTCTCCGGCAGCCCATTCCATATACGCACCACTGTCTGCGTGAAGAGGTTGCCCCTCAATTCCTTATTACATCTTCTCCCTTTCACCTTACACCTATGCCCTCCAGTTTTCAATTCCCCATCCCTGGCAGAAAGATTATATGAATACATCCTATCTATGCCCCTCATGATTTTATACACCTCAATAAGGTCATCCCTCATTCTCCTACTATCCAAGGAAAAATACACTATCCTGGCCAACCTCTCCCTATAACTCAGGCCTACTAGTCCTGGCAACATCCTCATACATCTATTTTTCACACTTTCCAGTTCAACTATGTCTTTCCTCTAACAGGGTGACCAAAACAGTACACAATACTCCAAGTGTGGCCTCACCAACTTGTACAACTATAATGTAACATCCCAACTCCTATACTCAATGCCTTGACTGATGAAGGCCAGCATGCGAAACGCCTTCTTTAAAACCCGGTATACCTGTGACGCCGCTTTCAACGAACTATGTACTTGTATTCCTAGGTCCCTCTGTTCCACAATATCCCTCAGGGCCTTACCATTTACTGTATAAGTCCTACTTGGTTTGACTTTTCAAAGTGCAACGCCTCACACATCTGTATTGATCCACTTCCTCATCTGATCAAGATCCCTCTGTAATTCTTAATAACCTTCCTCACTATCAACAATACCTCCTGATTTTGTATCATCCACAAGCTTACTAATAAGCCAATTTTGAAACCAATTAGCTAGCTCTCCCTGGATCCCATGCCACCTAACCTTCATGACTAGCCTGCTGTGTGGGGCCTTGTTAAAGGCCTTACTAAAGTCCATATAGACAACATCCACTGCCCTAACCTCATTCATCCTCTTGGTTACCTCTTTGCAAAACTCTAAAAGATTTGTCAGACATGACTTCCCGCGCACAAATCCACGCTGACTATCCCTAATCAAACCTTGACTATCCAAATGTCGGTTGATCCTATCCCTCAGTATCCTCTCCAATAACTAGCCTACCACTGACATCAGACTCACTGGCCTGTGATGTCCAAGGATGAACTTGATCAAGCTTGGGGGATTTATCCCCCTTAATGCACTTTAAGGCTGCAAACACCTCCTCTCTGGTAGTAAGTATATGGTCCAAAACATCCCCACTTGTTTCCTTTATTTCCTTAGCATCTATGTTTCTCTCCTCATTAAACAATGAGGAGAAATATTCATTAAAATTCTCCCGCATCTTCTGTGGCTCCACACATAGACGGCCATGTTGATCTTTAAGGGATTGTATTCTCTTCCTAGCCACCCTCTTGCTCTTAATATAGCTATAGAACCTCTTGGGATTTTCTTTAACCCTATCTGCCAGATCAATCTCATACCCTCTTTTTACTCTTCTGATTTCCCTCCTGAGTGTGTTCCTACACTTTTATAATCATCTAGCAATTCACTTGAACCTACTAGCTTAAACCCAATGTATACCTTCTTTCTTTTCCTGACCAGAGCCTCAAAATTCCCTCGTCAGCCAGGGATCCCTAAACCTGCCAGCTTTTCCCTTCACCCTCCACCCTCATAGGGACATACTGTCTCTGGACTCTTGATATCACACTTTTAAAAGCCTCCCATTTGACGATTGTTCCTTTTCCTTCAAACAGACTCACCCAATCGACTTCTGCTAGATCCTGCCAAATGGCCCCAAAGATGGCCCTGATTCAGTTCAGCACCTGTGGACCTGTCCTATTTTCTTTTCCATAACTGTGTCAAAACTAAGAGAGTTATGGTCACTGGACTCAAAGTGCTCTCCGACTGACACTTCAGTCACTTGCCCAACCTCCTTTCTTAAATTGAGGTCCAGTGTTGCACTCTCCCAACTAGGGCCCTCTACGTATTGGTTTAGGAAACTTTCTTGGACACATTTGACAAATTCCACCCTGTCCAGGCCTTTTACACTCTGGGTGGCCCATGTCAATCCAGGGGAAATTAAAACCCCCAACCAATACTACTCTATTATTCCTATAGGTATCTGCAATCTCTCTACACATCTGCTTCTCTAGTACAGCTGGCTATTTGGGGGTCTATAATACAGTCCCAACAGAGGGAGGAAATAGAATCCTTCAAAATGTGGATGCTATTGTGTTTGCTTAAATTGTATATAAAGATCATAAGAAAAATGGAAGAGGTACTTGAAATCGCAACAGCAGAAAGAATGCTAAAATGTGGCATACAGAAGATAAAATGTCAGTAGATAGTAGGAACTGCAGATGCTGGAGAATCCGAGACAACAAGGTGCAGGGCTGGATGAACACAGCAGGCCAAGCAGCATCATAGGAGCAGAGAGGCTGACGTTTCGGGCCTAGACCCTTCATCAGAAAAAAATGTCAGTATATTGGCCAACTGGTCAAAGCTGGACAGTTGCAGAAATCTCTGCTAGAGTGCAAAGTGGAGGGTAACAGAAAAAGGGATCGATCTCGGTGTAGCTAAATGACAAATGTTAGAACAGTTGCAGACTATCTACAATGGATTTCTGAGGATGGTACAAGCCAGACAAACATGGCATATGTTACAGTAGATTTCCTGGTAGGAGTAGCTACAAGCAGCAACATCAGCAGCATCTCTTGAAGTTGTAAATTAGCACCAAGTTACAAATGAGAGTACTTGAGTACTCCAACTGCTTAAATCAAATCTTTATTATTCTGAGCTGAAATTGTAAGAAAGATACAGAGATATGAGGGCGGCTGGGAAAATGTCTCCACTAAGGGTGTTAAGCATTACATCATCTGTCGTGTAGAGATATTTGCAACCAACTTTAAATGGACAGTTTTAGTCAATCAGAACAAAAGTGCTTTTAGAGAATCTAATGAAGTGAAGCTCTGCAGCTATATCAACTGCAAAATGAGTGACAAGCCCTTAATTAGTTAGGTTCAAAGCTTCACACGAAGCATGAAATATCACAGCCAGAGCCTGTGCTTTCTCTTCATCACCAGAGTGCTCTTTCTCTTTTTTTTCCCTCAAAATATTGAAGTAGGTCACTATATTTCATTCTTCAAATCCCAAACCAAGAAACACAAACTCAAAAATCTTTTGAAAGAGGGATGAAAAATGTTATTATCTAATAAGGTTTAAAGGGATGCCTGAGACCCAATGGAGCAAAAGAAGAGGTGATTGAGATATTATTTAAAGGCTAATAGGGTGAGGACTGGTTGTAGAAATATGGAGAGCTGGTAACCAGTCATGTGAGAGTTCTATGAAATGTGGTTAACTCAAAAATAGCTTAAACTAAGAAAAGTGGTCTTGGATTCCGTTCAAAAATATTTATCTGCTGGCATATAACAAAAAAAAAACTGAATCAAGGGTTAAAAAAGGGCTCTTATAGGCTTCGTTAGGAGAGGTTCCTTCCTATTGGAAGACTGGTTACCACATTGACAGCACACACCTTGGTTAAAGCTGCGACCCGTTGTGCAAGTTCAGCCTCCACCTCAGGCAATGTCTCAGCCTTCCTCATTGTCTGCTGTAGCTTTTGCTCAGCCAGCTCCAACAGTTCCTGGATATGTCGATTCTTCTCTTCACTCTATATAAAAGAAAACTATGAGTTGCTAGTGCACGAGTGTTACAGTAACATGCATTCTGCTTCTTTCCCTTTTCTGCAATGAGGCAGGTAGTACTCAGTGAAAAAGCCACAGCCTACTGTGTTAACCACCCAAGCCAATCCCTTAATTAGTTGAATCTATCAAGCATTTGCATCATACAAATCAATCTGAAGTGTCATTTTAAGTTTAAAATTTGTGCTTTAAGTATTAAAAACTATTCTATGTAACATTGTTTAAATTTGATTACTTTTCATTAATGTAGATAGAACTAAAACAAGGCTTTATTTAAAAATTCAATTATACCCTAAACCATTGTTTCTTATTTCATCGCTGACTTTCTACAATTGAGCCTGGAACCAGAAATTTCTCCTCCAGCATTTGCAAGCGCTACTTCTTAATCTGATGTGGTGGTCTGTCGGAGTCTCATCTAATTAATGCCAATTGTCCCTTTATTCTTGAGTGAAGCACTGGGTTCTCCCCTTAGCTTCAAGATCTGGTTGAGACATAGATCCTGAACTAAGCAATGACTGAGACAGTGAAACATACCCACGTTGTGCATTAAACCAGCATGGACCACCTCCAGCCCTTTCACCTCACCTCTTTCCATTCTATTTGAAAATGAAAACAAAAAAACAAGTAAAATTATATGCCTCATAACTTGCATCATCTGTATATTAAACAGCAGAGAAAAACTTGAAAGGAAGCAAAATACAGGTGCTATTTTTATACCACTAGCATTTAATCATCATTTGCATTTCATCACGTTTTAATAGATGAAGGATGTTAAGTGAAGTTAGTCAATTAATTTATTATACATTTGAAAACAGTAAGCATTAAATCCTGCAGTGCAACTTGACATTATTAAATTCTGCATTTTATCTATTTATTTATAATGAATGCTGGTGATGGAGTCTGGAGCTGTCAAGCAAAGTACAACACTTTGCATTTACTTCCACAACTAAAATTAGCAGACAGAGGAAAATATCTCTCAATGATTAAAATTAACAGACAGAGGAAAATATCTCTCAATGATTAAAATAGCACATCCAACCTGCCACCTGTTTCATTTTTGTTCTCCATCTATTGTTCTTTCCAAACAAAATGCTGTAATTTTTAACAATGATAACTTGTTTTCTAACTTTAGAAGTAGGCAGGAATTATGCAAACTACATTTGCATCTGAAGTGCCAATAGGACAAATGATATTTTCTCTTTGACTTGAGCTTAAACAGTAAAGAGTGATCTGGGACCACTTCTCCCAGATCCACTCAATATAACCCATTCAACACATTACATTACTTCTAGGGGGAAGGCAGGTCGGCAGTACTGGAGCAGAAAGAAGCCAGCATCAGCAATCCAAAATCAAGACGATGACAAAAAAGGGGAATTTCTTCATTCAAAGCTGAGCATCAAGACCACCTCTTCACCCCAAAGCATAAACCACGCAGAGAACAAGTGCAGTCACATGACAGAATCTTCACACACCTACACAGACCCCCTGTAAACACCATGTAATCAAAATGTTTAGTGGTTCAGAAACAATTTGTGGTGGCAATTTAAAAACGATAAGCAACAGCAGGTGGCAATTAACTGACTAAAGATTTAAACCACAATATTGGTTTGAATCTGTCACTGACCCCATGCCTCCAAGTTGGCTGCCCTATTCATAGAAACACAGAAAATAGGAACAGGAGAAGGCCATTCAGCCCTTTGAGCCTGCTCCTCCATTCAACGTGATCATGGCTGATCATCCAACTTCGTATTCTGTTCCCACTTTTGTCCCGTACCCTTTGATCCCTTTAGCCCTAAGAACTATCGACTCCTTCTTGAAAACAGTCAGTGGTTTGGCCTCGACTGCTTTCTGTGACAGTGAATTCACAGGCTCACCACTCTCTGGGTGAAGAAATTTCAGTTTATCTCAGTCCTAAATGGCCTTTCCCATGTCCTTAGACTGTAATCCCTGGATTACATTAATCATGCAGATTCATGTGGAACACTGTTGACATGGGCATTCTCTCATTAAAAGTGCTGCTGACTAGTCAGCCTCATGCTATAGAAGGTGAGTACACTTATGCACTGTGGCAGAACGTATGATAAAATCAGTGATTTATTTTAAAATGCATTTTCAATCTTCGGCAGGTTATCGGGGAATGGACAAGCATGTTTTTCACTGAGGGGCAGAGTTAACCTAACTCGCCCTGTACAGATTACTTACAAAAGCTGTCAGGCAAGTCACTGCTCTCTTTGTATTGAAGCAGAGAAAGAGGAGAAATGGTTTCTTAGAGTGCATATATATTATAATAGCTTCATCTATTTCATCCAGCTATCCTGAACATTTCACTGAAAACATGCCAGACTGTTGGAGTGATGGTCACTTCATTGTTACGTGTTTGAAGGGAAAAAGCCAAATACATAGCTTTAATATCCACATTAATTGTTTTAGCAACTAAAAGCATTTTACCTGGCGGTGTAGAGATTCCTTATTCGCGAGTTCACTTTCAAGTTTGTCATTAAGATCGTGCACTGACGTGGACTCTCTCTGTGCAGCTAAATAACGCTTTTCAAGTGTTGTGATTCTTTCTTCCATATCCTCCTTCTGTGCCATTGCCTAAAACCAACAAAAGTGTGTGTGTTAAATTAACATCAGGGCACCACAAAACTGGTTCACTCTCATCTCAGACCAGAAGGTTATGGATTCAAGCCCCTTGACAATCAAAGGTGACACTTCAGTGCAGCACTGAGCTAGGGTCTGCATTATATGAGATGTCCTTAACTGGGTGAACAAATGCCAAAGGTATCATATAAAGAGAAGTTGAGGCACTTTTCCCCTAGTCCCTGAGCCAATATTTCTCTCTCAATTATCACAATTAAAAAGGATAATTGGCAATTTACCTCATGGCTCACTGACTCCTTGCTACATGTTTCTCTGAATAACAACAGCGAATGCACTTCAAACACAAATTTTTTTTTGGTCATGGAGCACACTGGGACATTCCGAAATCATCAGTTTCTTTACCAGCTTGAGATCTGTGACTCAGAATCAACAACACTCCCTAAAATCACCGAAATTGCTTAGCCGATAAATTTTGTCACTCACTTAAAAGTGTGGAGGCTGCTGAGGAAATGAATTCCGATGTTCAAGCACAACAACATCAGTTAGGTCATGGTACATCATCGTCATCCAGTACACTGGACAGTTCAGGTCAAAACTGATGTGGAGGTGCCAGTGTTTGACTGGGGTGGATAAAGACAAAAATCACACGACACCAGGTTATAGTCCAATAGGTTTACTCGAAATCACAAGCTTTCGGGGTTCAGCCCCTTCATGCACCAAAAGCTTGTGATTTCAAATAAACGTGTTGGACTTTAACCTGGGGTCAAACCTCAACACTACTTATTTCTTATTACCTCTCTTGGTACCTTTCTATGGCTAGAGACCCACAGCTCCAAAGTTTTCTGCTTTCGCCCTGGAATCCAAAAGGTGAGTTGAAGTTTTACATGGACAGTCAGGTAACTAGTCTGTGGTTTGGCCACACGGGCATTTACTTCTGAGCACGTCCACAGCTGTAAAGCTCTGGTGTAGGTTAAAACTGGGGTAATAATCAGATTTCTCTGTTGTAGACATAGCAAGGTTTTGTAGTGCTTATGATTTCACTGTACCTAGAGGAACGAGGCTACTTTATGTCATGACAAGTTCCCAATCCCAGCTTTGTATAAATCGTTTTCATGGAAAATGGTTAAGCTAAAGGTCTTGCAGATAGTAGAATAATTGTTGGTTGGTCATCTGGATTTTCCTCATGCATTTCCTAATGACTGGTTAAAGAGCTGTGGTCTAGTGGAGGTATTAACAATAGAAAGCTTCCTGCTTCCGTGATAGAGCACTTGCGTGCAATAATGGGAATAATCAAAGGATCCAAACACAAGGAGCAAGAAAAATCTGAGTTCAATGTTCAGGATTACAAAGCGATTGAGGGAGTCTACCCCTCTTTCACTGTCTATTCACCACAACAAGAATGCCAAATATGAACTTGGAATATGAAAATTCTTCAGCATTGAAAGGGACAGTGAATCCTTACCATTATCGTACTCTATTCTGACCTGTTCAAAATGACCTCATCAGACTCTGAACAACAGGCCTGTCACTTTTTTGGTCTGTGAATGGTGTGCCCTAGTAAATGGTGGTACTCAAATAATTGTGATGGTAGGGGGAAAGCAAAATTCAGAATATGTTTGATCTTCTAGTAATTAAAGGCAGCAACATTAAGCATGCAGTGATATGGAATCAAGTATATATGTGAGGTTTATGGAATGTTTAATCATATTTTGATCTAATTACCTAACACCGCATTACTGGGGAAAAATTCTCAATAATAAATTATTGGTAGTTTCTATATATACCTGAAAAAGTCTTTACACTGAAGATTCTGGATACTCAAAATAGGAACAACTAGGCCAATTACAAAAAATGCAAACAGTTGTAAAATTTTGTTAACATTTCCGATGAAAACATTTTTCACTCAATGCACAGAAATATAGCACATTTAAATTTTGACCATTTGAATGAGATCACACCTCACCTCTCTGATGTCTCGCTGATACTTGTTATTCATTTCCTCTGATCTGATCAGATCTTTCCTGGCAGTGTCCAGATCTTCCTCCAGCTCTGCCACACGTGCTGATAGTACAGACAGACGTTCTTTCATCTGGGTCACCTCAAAGTTCTGTTTCTCCAGTAAATCCTGCATCTCCACAACCTGGCTGACCTCATCGTTGGGATCAATTGATCCATTTGAAAGTCTCTGCAATGTTAATGGCAGAACAGCAGGCATTATATACATGGTGTTCTATGCATAGTCAAAATTGGGGTCCATAATGATTAAGAGATACAAATCTAAATACAAAATTGTAACATCACCTAATAAACTCAGCTTAAGGTTGAAGTGTTTCCAATTACCAACTCAGTCATACTTGAGTTATCTTTACTGATAAGTAGGGTCTCATTACATGTAGAAATTGATTTAACCTTTGACATTCAAATCCTTTATGTCATAGACGAAATAGCCAGTGAAAATGTAAATTTTTCACATTTCTTTCATAAATCATTTTGGAAACTCAAAAAATAGAATTATGAGACATAAGGAAAGAAATCATAGAATCCCTACAATGTGGAAACAGGCCCTTCGGCCCAACAAGTCCACACCGAACCTCAGAGCATCCCACCCAGACCCATCCCCCTATAACCCACCTAATCTACACCTCCCTGAACACTACGGGCAATTTAGCATGGCCAATCCACCTAACCTGCACATCTTTGGACTGTGGGAGGAAACCCACGCAGACGTGCAGAGAATGTGCAAACTCCACACAGACAGTCGCCCAACGCTGGAATTGAACCCGGGTCCCTGGCGCTGTGAGGCAGCAGTGCTAACCACTGTGCCACCGTGCTGTGAGAAATATTTTGTCCTCACAGACAGCATAATACTGAATTATAAAGACTTCATTCAACCACAACATGCAAGAAAATAATGTTCAACATGCAACAGAAACTTAAACCCAATTGAAAGATTTTTGTTCAAAAATATAAGTCATAAATTTCTCGCCGGAAACCTTATGAAAAATGGTCCTGCTGGCTGAATGACGCTTTGTATTTTGAGATAATTTTCAATGCACAATGTTTGGTTATCCAATGTACACAGCCTATGGCAGACCAACTGACTAGTATTTGTGCCAGTTCTGTAAAAGGGCAGAAAAATGTTTTTACTCATCCTACCTGTCAGGGATGTCCTTCAGCCAGTGCAGATAAAAACCATTGTATGGTCCACCAGCATGACCCTGAGCTTCTGATAGCCTGTAATTTTAATTCTCCACATTGCACCTAGACTGTCAACCCTATCCTCAGCCCACTGCATGGTTCCAGGAAGGGTCAATGTAAATTTGAGGAACGGCACCTCATCATTTCATCAGGCACTCTACAGTCACTTTTTAGCTATAGCAGACTTTAATCTCTAGCCCAGTTGTGTTTGCTTTCTGTTGCATTTTTTTGTCCAGCTCTAGGTAGATCTTTTATTTAGCCCCGGAAGATTAACTCTATCAATCCTTCTCTCTTATCTTCAAACCTATCACAGACCTTCCTTTGCTTTTTCCATCACTGACCCTTTGTTAAAAATCAATTTCATCTTTAACTTTCCCCAGTTCTGATGAAAGATCATCCTATTTCTCTCTCCACAGATGTTACCCAACCTGGTAAATGTTTTCACCATTCATTGTTTTTATGTCAGATAAAATGCAGGTCTTAATTTAAATGCAGAGATAACACAGTGTGGAGCTGGAGGAACACAGCCGGCCAGGCAGCATCAGAGGAGCAGGAAAGCTGACGTTTCGGGTCGGAATCCTTCTTCAGAAAATCTGTGTCATCTCTGACTCCAGCGTCTGCAGTTCTTGCTATCTCTTAATTTAAATGCAGATGACTTTAAGTTTTGAGGGTAGGTGGTAACCTAATGGTATTATCACTGAATTGTTAACCCAGAGACCCAGGTAATGTTCTGGGAAAATAAAAACCGAAAGAACTGTGGATGCTGCAAATCAGAAATGAAAACAGAAGTTGCTAGAAAAGCTCAGCAGGTCTGGCAGCATCTATGAAGAGAAATCAGAGTTAACGTTAAGGGTCTGGTGACCCTTCCACAGAACATGTTCTGGGGACCCGAGTTCAAATCTCACCATGGCAGATGGTGGAATCTGAATTCAATTAAAAACAGAGGGAGGAAAATAATCTGGAATTAAGAGTCTAATGATTGTCGGGGAAAACCCATCAGGTTCACTAATGTCTTTCAGGGAAGGAAACTGCCGTCCTTACCTGGTCTGGCCTACAAGTGACTGTAGACACATAGCAATACAGCTGACTCTTAACTGCCCTTTGGGCAATTAGGGATGGGTAATAAATGCTAGCCTAGCCTGCAACACTATCATCCCATGAATGAATAATTTAAAAAAAAGTACTGGTCAACAATAGGTTTTCACATAAATGGCATGGGCAGAACATCCTCCTGAAAATAAGAAACATTCTACCTCGACTGACAAAACCAATTAAGTACATGTGTATATCTAATTTCCTGTTGCCGGTGAACACAACCTGTAGTATAAACAGGACAGGTTCAGGACGACAAAAAATATTAAATCATTTTGATTGCTCCAAATTGGTTTTCCAGTTGGAGGTCAGAATTCTACTACCAACTCTTTGTCCTGGCAGTTGACTGTAAAAGCAACTCAGTTATTGTTCTGAGTGGTTGGTCAGTGTAGCTGCAGATAGAACATTAGCTCTTAGAGCTATTCTTGTATCTGGTTGCAAAGGGTTTCTAATTATTCAAGAATTCAATCAGACAAGAAATCTGGGAGAAGCAGCAAAGCATTCAGAGCAGAAAACTTGAGAAATGAGCCTATTGATAAAAATCAAATATTATTCATGAGGTGAGGCCAAACTCAGGTTTGAAGTGCCTGAGGAGATAGCTGTACTGTAGGATCCTAATCAGATCATTGGCACAGAAGAACCACTGGCCTCATTGGAACCGAATGAGGAACTATTGACTTCAATAACCAGTATATTTCAAAATTGATGCATTTTATGTTGATTACACCAGTTTATTTATGCCCTTTTTGAAGTTTAACAGTATCCTCCTGAGAGTTCACAGCACTTCTGTGTTGTGTATTAACAGCAAATGTGAAATTGTGTTCTGTACGCTCCAGTCTAGGCTATTAATATAGATTAACCATATCAACCAAATTAGCCTCATGAACCTCCTTTGTCATCTCATCAAAAAGCTAAACAGGTTAGTTAAGCACAATTTGCCTTTTAACAAATTCATGCTGGCTTTTAGTAATGAATCCACATTTTTCCAAGTGACTATTAACTTTGACCCGGATAATCATTCCTACAAGCTCCCCTACCACCAGGATTAATCTGATGGGCCTGTAATTATTCAGTTTCTCATTACACCCTGGTTTTGAACAGCTATATAACATTTGCAATTCTTCAAACAGTTGGCACCACCTCTGTACGTAGGGAAGTTTAGAATACTATCTTTATGAACTATGTCTCCACAATTTCCTCTCTGATTTCCTTCAGTATCTTTGGATTTATTTTGTTTATTCTTAGTGATTTATCACTTTTTAAGCACAGACAGAAATTCTGGTACGTCCTCTTTTTTTAAATTTCAGCCCATCTAGTATCTCAACTATCTTCTCTTCCATAACAGCTTTGGCAGTATCTTCTTCTTTGTTAAAGATGGATGCAAAGTATTAATTTAGCAATGCAACTCTGCTTCCGCCTCCATATGTAAAATTCACTTTTTATTGCCTTAATTAACTCCATTCTTCCTTTTACCATCCTTTTACTATTTATAATCTTATAGAAGGATTAATATTTGTATTCATAGGCCATCTCTTCTCATCTTTTCTCTTTGCTACTCTTATCTGTGTTTCAGTTCCTCTCTGAATTCCTCTCTCCACTTAGTCTGGTTCTCAATGTATTATCCACATGACATCTGTTATATACCCCCTTTTACTGCCTTACTTTACTTTCCATCTTCCAGGAACCTCCAGTTTTGTTTACCTTACCGTTGCCCCTTCATGGGAATATACAGTGATAGTACCTGAACTACCTTCTAAGGTTTTAGAGTAGATTTGTAGCTCAGGTTGTGGATGCTGTGGTTGGTTGGCTCGCCGAGCTGGTTCGTTGTTTTTCCACAGATGTTTCATTACCCTGCTGGGTAACATCATCAGTGCAGCCTCCAATGAAGTGCTGTTGTGTTTTTCTGCCTGTTATTTAAACTCTGGAGTCGGTTGAGCTGGATTATCTCACTTCCGGTTTTCCTTCGCTGTGGAGCGTATATGGGGTCGAGCTCTACTTAGATACAACCTAGTACCTTACTATTTTGTTATTCTAGTACCTTTGAGCTCTTGCTTTCCACTTTTGTTGTTAGATGCTTAAAATCTGCCCCATTCCTCTTTCTGCCCAAGTTATTGGTACCAATCTGGACCTTAATTTCAGATGGTTCATCTTGTCCTTCCAGAGAGTTCTGAAACTATTCAATGACCTCCCTGATTCTGGCCCCAGGGAGCAACACGCCATCCTGAATTCACATGTCTGGATGTAGAAATACTGTTTCCCAAGTAAAGCATCCCCTGTCACTTTTGCATTCCCAATCTTCCACCTCCACTCCTTGTACAGCTGAGTGGCTATGGTGCCATGTCAGCTGCAGTCACCAGAGAACCATCGCTCTCATCAGCATTTTTCTCCTAGATTACTTGCTAAACATTGTGGCTACTATGAAAATTAGTAACTCTAGTCAAGAAGCAAAAATACAAAATAAGAGTCCAAAGTAGGTAATGTCTAGTATACCAATTACATAGTCATTTTTGCAACATGATTATAAAACAAATCAATTAGGCTATTTTACATTTAGTTTCAACATTATTGAGTGATCTGCACTTTGCGAACATTTCATCTGTACTTAAAAGTTAAATAGAAATTGATGAAGGTTAAAGGTGGGTTGAAGCATTAATTAGAAATAGCTGGAAAGCAACATCAGACTACCTGCAGCCACTTTCAGTTCAAACAACAGGCTTATTTTAACCCTCAGAAGTTATATAATTAGTATATAAATAGATATCTGAATGACAAAAGGTGAAAATGATGCATGCAATGGGAAGACCTTTACTTTGTACAGAGCTGGTGTTAATTAAGATAAAAACCAAAATACTCTAACTCTATGATGGTAAAGTACTGATGAACATTTCTGAATAT